ATATATATTCTTTTTAAAAAGTATATTAGAAATCCTGGAAATGTTTAAGGTTATCTCACTCACTATATTTTATTTTCATGTATTTTTTTTTTTATAATTGTGGCTACAACATTAAATGAGCTGATCCAAGACTAGGCTTAAGCTTATATTGAGGCGATAAATAAGCTCGAGATCAAATCGTTTATTAATCTTAGTGAGTCGAAAAAGAGTCTTGACGAACCGAATGATAGAAACTTTTTTTTGTCGAGTCTTAATGAGTTCGACTAATTAACTAAACGAGTTTTAAACAAGCTAACCTCTATTATCAAACAAGGCGAGCCGAGCTCACGAGCAATTTTATTTTGTTTCTGCTAGTTTTGATTGTTATAGTTAAGTAGTCATACATTTTCAATAATTATTTATACTTTATTATGCTCTAATTCCAAATTTCGTTTCTGCTAGTTTTACTTTCTCGTTTTTAATTCGCATGTCATATTTTCACAACAATATGATTGTATAAAGGTTATGTAGCACAACATTTGTGTACTCTTTTTTTTTTTCACTTTTCACGGAATTTTGTATACTTATATTATATTAATTAGTGGATTAATTTGGAACAAATATATTATATACTAATTAATATTTTCTAGAATGATGCCATATGAAATCCTTGTGAAAATGAAATTTAGAAGCACTATTTTGTTTTGAAGTATTATTAAAAAAAAAAAAAAAAAAAAAAAAAATTCCTCACTAACTTGACGAAATCAAAAAAAGCAATAGGAAATGGGCCAAACGAAAAAAAAAAACGAGCAATCAAATAGCGGCTGAGGATAAAAAAAAACCCTATCCAAGAAAAAAAACCCAACGTAGTCCCGATTCATCCCTATTACCAGTAACCAAATCTCTCAGAAAACCCTATCCAAGAAAAAACGAAAACACATCTCTCACCATGGCTAATTTACCAGGTATGGGTGATTATGTAGTTCAAAATCACAATGTCGAGCTTGGAGTGCCAAATGAGGAGTTCACGATAACAAACATAGATGTAGACCCTCTTCCATTTGGAGTGATTCCAACCAACGAGCAAATAGCGGCTGAGGATCACAGGAGGAGAACGTTGATCGATAGAGTTCCGAATATGAATAATTTGGATGCCGCACAACGCGAATTGAGGTACCATGATGTCCTCACAAGAGTTAATGGGGTGGCTCAACTCCCCCAGGGTTTGATGCATCTATTTGAGGATATCTTGCAGACCACACAAAATATGGAGCAGACCCAATTGGAGACGCTTGAGTCACTTCAAGACCATCAAGGTCGACTTCAGAACCATCAACATCGACTTGAGGACCATCTAGCTATGCTTCAGGACCATCATGCTCTAATTCAGGGCGCGTTTGAGGCTATCCATCGGGCCAATCAAAGAATAACAACATTACTCGAAGTAATGACGGCGAGGTCTCGAAATAAACAATTTCGGAGACGACAGATGAATGTACACTTGGCCATCTTGCCAAAAGTGTATGCCGGCCATCCATTTCCGGTCCCGGAACCCGTCCAAGGAGTTAATATTGATATGGGGGGCTATCTAGTGGGTGATATGCCCCCTAATGGCTTGATGCCTCTTACCAATAACGAATTTGCAACAATGCTGAAGCAAGACTTGCCCATTTTGAGGAGAAGATTGAGAGCTATATATTGGTTCTATAACGATGCCGATCTGGAGATCCCCCCCGATGCCACGGAAGAAAGGTGCAACGAGGGCGTGGAATGTGTTAGGATGTTTATCTGTCCTTGAGAAACATCTCAGGTATGCTAAAGTAGAATTCTCTATAACCGTATTAGCTGACCTCACGTCAATATTTCCGCTTCCTTGTTCCACTAAATCTGCTCAGTTTCAGACTATCCTAATTGTATTGCTGTGTATCAAGAATTTTCATGGAGTTGTTGGTCTAGAGATTGAGTGATCATGGAATATGCTTGTTATCTCATGCATCACCCTTTGCATAGGATTGCTTTCACATGGATTTTAATTCATAAAGTTATCATAATTCCCGCAGCCATGTGATACGAGTTTGTGGTCAGCAATGAATTTGTATCATTATATTTTTTAACAAAAGGGTTTTTTTTTTTTTTTTTATCCGGTGTTTCCGAAGAGAATAAGCTCTTTTGTTTTGTTTTGTGACTTGTGAGAGTTCAGAAGAAAGATTTTCTAACATGACTTGAATAGACTTTCCCGTAGGCTCATCTATTTTCAAGCGCACGCACAGTTTAGTTCAACCTTCCCTGCCCTCAGAATGAGGGTCATGCTGACCAATTCCTAGCTAAAATGGCCTTTGCTTAACACATGCTGCACATAGGATGAAGAGGTCCTTTAGTGGAAAGTGTATCCCATCGGTAGTTGATTTTCAGAGTCTTGCCCTTTGGGCTGATGAGTCAATTACCTACAGCTTTTATCGAGAGGAGATGGGCTGATAGGGGAAACCCTTAAACTTCTGGCTATTTATGTTTCTTGATTTCTCTTTATATATAAATAAATGTTTACAAGAGGCTATTGTTTATGCATATTTCACATGTTTTATATAGGTTTTATCCTGAACGGGTGTCTGTCGCTTGAAGGGGGCTTGGAAGAGTTTGATGTTATGTTGATCATTTTCTGGTTGAATGATTGGGGGCTTGATGTTATGTTGATCCTTTTCTGGTTTATATGCTTGTTACTTTTGCTAGACTTCAATGATTGGATCAGACCTTGTTTATGTAACTCAGTTTTAGTGAATATGAATCTATTGACCGGGGCAGGTAATATGATTAATGAATTGAATTCTTGTTATTTGGTTTGGATAGTACGAATTGCATAAAGAATGCTTGTACGTCCTGACATGTCAATAGATGAAACCCCTGTAGATTTCCCCATTGGTCTCTGAGTGCATAATGTCCTCAGAAAATGTAACTTTGATACACAAACAATGGTCAGGTACTCAAATCACCATGCACAACTCCTAAGCTCTACTAAGCCAATGTAAGTGGACCTCTGCAAGGAGGAGTATGTATAAATCAGTTTATCACATGCGACTACCATTCTTTTCGGGAGCCTTTCGCAGTCCTTTCGAAATTGTTCCCCGGCCATCCATGGGTGCAGCCACCGCACGTCGAAGGAGTCCACATTGAAGTGGGGGTTATCAAGTCGGAGATAACCCCTCTGGGACTGGTTCCAGCTAATCAAAATGATTCGTTTCAATCCAACTGTAGTCATTTGATTCGTTTCCCACATCACAGACAAATGACTGTCGCTTCAATTATACATTCATATATTCTAAATCACAATTTCCATCCCTCTAAAAATCCTAACTTTGTTTTCGTCTCCTCGCCAAACACGCAAAATTCCTCAGGAAATCCAAAACCGCCCAAACCAGGTGCCAGAACCCGATTTCCGGCCACAGTGCCCGTGGGAAGTACAGTAAGGCACATGCGCTCTGGAAATCCACATTGGGAGCACCCGCCATATACACCCCCCTATCAACATCCGCCATGTCAACAACATCACAACACTTCCCGGCCCGTTTTTTATCGATGGAAACTTTGTCGACCGAATGCACAATCTCATGCGTGGGCGTGTAAGCTAAGCAAATCGAGAGCACGGCCCGAGAGTTTCGTTCGGTGGCTCTCATGGCCCGTTCGGCAGCCAACTTCACGGGCTCGCTAAGGAGCTTGAGATTCCCGATAAAGTGGACCCACCTCCGTGTCGATTGACCATACTTCCTTCTTCACTCAACCCTCGATTTTCTCTTGTATCAACTGCATCGTGGATTGTACCTGGTCCGGTCGCCTTTTGAAATTGTCGATGCTGAATGCGTAAATCGTCACGTGCTTCACGTTCAGCTCGTAATTGTAGCATTTGCATGAGGGCCGAGAATCCAGCCCCGTGGCCCGATCCTTCGTCTCGGAGGTTTCGCCACCTGGCGTACCTTCGGTTACCGTCCATGATGAAGGCGATGTGATCGGGTGTGGGCCCACAGAGAGGATAGAGAATATTAATTTGCGGAGGAAAGTATAAAAGCGTTTGAGTAATCGAAAAGCCCGGTTGATGTGTCGTTTTTCCATGGAGAAGCTCGGAAGAAGAAGAAGAAAAAGCTTGTTATGCTGAAAATCCAGTCGAACCTGATCGCAAACAATGTAACAATACGACTCATTGAATATAAGAACACAAAAGACAGTTCATAAGAAAACAGAGAAAAAGTGATAGTATTTGTACCTTGATGTAGCGAAAGCGTGAACGAACGGGAAGAGATAAAAGATACAAGGAGATACTCTCTCCAAAACACGGGATACTCTCCCAAAAGAAAACACGATATCTTATTTCATTCAATATTCAACTGATTTATTATTCCATCAACACTAATAATAAATAGAACTCCTAACTTGATAAACAAGAAATAAATATTCTTCTAATCAAGATAGAAGATTATCCTAACCAACTCAATAGATAAGGAAGAGATAATAA